CTATAAATCAAATTCTCTAAAGACTTTTTTCTACTGAATTAACTACAACTAGAAAGTGAATTTGAAATGAATCTTTATACCTAACAAAGGAAGGGGCACAAAAAGCATGAAGAAACTTTAAAAAGACAAAAGGTTTTGTATCATTACTTAAAGAAGAATACATTACTTAAAGCCATACATTGCACTCTGTTTCTTGAATTTTTAAGTGCTCTGCAAAATTACATCCCAACTGAATTTTTCCACTACAAATTTTCCTTTCTTGGTTGTGTCATCTTCCTGCTTAATCAGCTCAATTCCTTCTACCATCTTTTAGAATTCACTTCCTTTCTTCACACAGGATATCACTGATTCCTTCCAAATACATAGCAAAACTCTGTGACTTGCACAAGCCTTTTATTTCCCATCTCTGCCCTCTCTGTCCACTCACACAGATAATTGATATGTCCACTCTCTAACCATTTCAAATCAAAGATACTGCAGTGCTTTTCTCCAGCCCTGGTAATTAATCCCCTCCAGGATACTAGAGAAGAGAAAAGTTTCATAGCCTTTCTATTTGACTACCTCATCTTTCTCCACACATCAGTAAAAAGTTACACTCTTTTACACAGTTGTAGATAATTCATCCTTATTTCTTAGTATCCTAGCACTTGCCCCTTATATTTATCGTCTCTCATTCAAGACTGAAAGATCAACTCCTGATCATCAAACTTGTCCCTCACCCACTTGATATATTTTTAGCAAGCACCTCATGTTTTGTCCTCATTGTCTTGAATGCTTGAAAACAGCTCTCCAAAAGCATTCACAAAGATACTTTTTTTTCTCTCCTCAAATCGCCTCTTAGCATTCATTCTCTGCTGTCAAGATGCCCCCAGTACTGTGTTGTACCCCTCTCTGTCACGTGGAGCATCTCTTTGTTCTTCTGTGTCTCTGGACTCATATGCTATTTCATGATTTAGACTCTGTGTGCTTGGAACAGAAGTTGTATTTTTCTATTGTATTTCAACATTGACATCCTGCTCTGTGACTATATTTGCTGTGTATCCACATGGTGAAATAAAATTATTGTGACTATCCAAATTAATGCTTAGGATTGACATTTAAAAAAAATATTAAGAAGGGATAAAATTTAGAGTGGCCTTATACAGGTTACCTTCAATAAAAAGTATTAATGATCAAAGATTGTATCTAAGAAGCCTTTATTTTTGACTCTGAGATTATCAAGGAGATGGAGGAAGAAAAAAAGTCAGTGAACTCTGCGTAATAAATACTCAACAGCAAAGCTGGAACCACCCTTTGTTTGCTAACATGTACTGCAGAGAAAGAACACAATTATGATTTCCCTATAGGTCAAGCAGATGCCAAAGTTTGTTTTACAAGGCTTAATTAAGGCAAAATCTGATGCTGCAACTATTTCTGCCAAAAAAAGGTTAATTGATTTAATATATTCCAGTGTTCCAAAAGCTAATGCCTTATATTGTGCCAAGGTACTCTTGGAAATAGGCATGGAATGAATTAGTGATGGATGTCCGTGTTTACAGTCATTTCAACCCCATCATGATCTCAGCAGATTGAAGACCTTAGTGTGACTATTACCATCACTTATAAAGTATATAAACACAGTAACATCAAGAGGTATGAGGTGTTTTTGACAAGGTCATTTTTGATGATGCCACCATTGTGAGCAGCCCCTGCACTTCAGAATTCCAAGAGGAAAGGTGACTGCTGTCCAACTACAGATGAACCTCTGAAGTAAAAGTGTGTCTTGAAAATTCCCATCTTCAATATAGCTTTCCTTGGTGCCCAAGATCTCAAGATCTGAGTGATAATTTACCACTATTCTACCAAGGAAAAATTGGCTGCCTTTGTTCTGGGTCTCTCAAATGCCTATTGATATGTTTAATTGAAATGTTTGGTTAGTTTTAATATTTATGGTGTGTCTGAAAACATTCTTTTTTGGAAGCTTAATTCACTGCTTTATCTTATAAATTGACAGGTATGTGTTATTTTAAAAATTGCCAGATAAATGAGCAGAAAGCACTGAATTTTCAAGAATGTTGACAATTGATCCTGCCTTCAGGCTTGTCCACTGAATACACAAGTAATAATATTTCAGTATGCTAATGAGACACATGTATGTGTGTATATAAATGTGTGTACATACCTATATCTGCCCCTATCCAGGAATCAATCTGGCCTTTCTGTTTGGTTCTTACCCCAGAAAAATGTTCAGAAAATCCTAAAAAATGAGCACTGACTCTACCATGGGAAAGGAATTTTTTTTTATTCACAGCTTGCATACTAGAAGTGGTCAATAATATTAGAGACTGATTTCCATGAAGGGAGCCAAAATCTAACACAAACAAAAGTCACTACACAACGGTCACTTAATAACATCTTTCTTTACAGAGTAGAGACTCCTGACTTTTGTCATTTCTTCCTGAAGGCAGAGAGTAGCTAGAAATCAGATGAACAAGTTAGCACAGGAAACAAGGAGCTGTTTCTCATAAAGGACTTTACTTTCTATGGGGAGCAGCATACTGGCTAAAGACCAGCTTGAGTGAAATCTAGAAATGAGGAACAGAGTCATGCTTTTGAAAGGCAGGACTTTCAGATCCATTGGACCAGGAAATTAACGGGAAAGGAAAGAGAAAAAGGTCTTTAAATAATCCTTTCACACACTACCATACAGCAGTCCCTGGAACACATATGCCAAGGCACTCTTAAATTAAGATAGCTGTTTCTAAATAGTTTTTACTAAAATCTGAACTGCATGAACATGAGTGAAGGAAGGATGGCACAATATGTAAAGGCAGTAGTATGTCTATATTAGTTCATATCACCAAGACTATACAGTAGGATTTTGATTCTCTCTTTGTATCCCCTTTGTTTTGTATGTTTTATATCCCAACATACTTGTTATGTGAGCATATAGAAGCATATACATGTATAAGTTTGTAGCAAAGAAAGAAAATGGATTTCCATAGATTGCTCTGGGGTAGCCTTAATGTATATGAGCAGAATTTTACAGGCATAAGTTATTTAGAGGTAGTACAGTATTGTCAGGCTAAAAGAAAACTTATTTTTTCTGAGATTTTCTGCCATTCTTGTGTGACTGAGAATGGGTTCAAGAATATTAATCAAATCTGAAACTAATTTTTTCTAGTGAAGAAAGAGTATTGTTGTATTTTTGTCAATGTGACATACATGGATTTTGCAATACAAAATGTCAAACATTTACATTGTTTTAAGGATTTGTGTCAAAACGTACAATTCTAGAATGTTATCTGATAAAACCAGAGCCAGTTGTGCTGCAATGTTTCTGAATACAACACAGCAGCTGAAGTGCATGACCCTTCCACAATACAGCAATTCTTTACAGTTATTCATATGGAACAAAAAAAATATTTTTCATAATTTTGATATTGCTGAGTTTTCACTCAACAAAATGTTTTTCCATTACATAATAATTCAAGTAGGAAATATAACAAAGAAGCTTACAATTTTACTGTTTATTACAGTCAAACCCAAACTTTAGCCTAAACTAATTTAAAAAATAATATGCTGCAGTTGTATGCATATTAATGAGTCAAGTTGGTGTGCTGCCTCATTTGGTATGCAGAACAAGTTCATTGAAGCTGAGAATGAAACTTGATTAAATATGAAAGCATGATGACTGAAAGCAAAAACAAACAAAAAAAGAGCTGTAAAGAGCATAGGCAATAAGCAAGCAAAGGGAATAAAAAGGGAAGACAAGTAGGGTACTCATAAAGGAGAAAGAATCGATCTATATGAACAGAAATATATTTTACCTGTCATCCTCTTTCCCTTCCTCAGCTTGGTCTTCTTGAGCTTTTTCATCGTGCCCTGATTCTTTGATTTCCTCCTTATCACAGTTCTCTGTCACCTCTTGCCCTTCCCCTTTTTCATTACTTTCTTGCTCTTTTGCTTTTTCCTCCTCCTCCTCTTTTTCTTCCTCCTCAGGAAATACTTCATCTTGTTCATCCCCTTCCACCCCTCCCTCTTTTTTCCCCTCTACATCTCTTGTCCTTCTGAAGTCAACAAAAATTGAAAAAGGCATGCAAAAAGAAAAAAGAAAATAATAAATTAAAGTTAAGGTCATGGAGAAGAACATGCATGAAGAAAAGAAATGCAAAAGAAATGAAATAAAAACTAAAGGATAGAAGCAGACATAATGAAAGTCATGCTGGCTAGGAGTCCAGCCTACACTACAGAGCCTTGGAACATTTTCTTAGTAAGTCCCTATTCAAATAAAACTTTCATGGCAATACCTCACATTTAGAAAGAAATGTGTGACAGAAACAATATTGTCCTAGAAATGTTCATATAAGCAGATGCTTAACTTTTGAAAATGCTTTCTTTTAAGAGGATAATTATTTGAGAATTACTATAGCTGATGGAGGTGGGTTACACCTTCTAGAAAAATTTTCTTTCATTTGTGCACCAAATGAAAGCCAAAGCTCCTCTGACTGCACACAGGGTGCAGGTAAAGAAAATTCTGTGTTTTGGTCATAGATACACAATGTACAACTTGTTGAAGAGCAGCTCAATGATTGTACACCTACAGTTAAATTGGACTAGTATAAGTATTAAATAAATTGAATTGATCTATGTCAAAAATAAATCATCTACAAAAGTTCAGCATTCTATTTAAAAGAAAAATCAGATGCCTCTGCTGGCACAAATTTTCAAGTTAAACTGTCTTTTCAGCCATATTAAGTATATTTTACAAAATGGTTTTCATAAAGTGTGTCCCCAGTGCTTGCTGACAGCATATGTTTGTTATTTCAGTGAATGTTAGATAATCCAAGACGACAAAACTTGGCTAAAAACAAATTCCATGAAGACTTCAAAAAACATTAGATAAAAAAAGACATTTAAGCCATTCTAGGCAAAATGCTAATGTCAAATACAAATATTGGTAAGGGTTCCATTACTAAAATCACACAGCTACAGCTGACACGGTAGCTCATCATGCTCACCTTATTTTCTTGTTTCCCCTCGGGCGCTCTGACTGGACAGACATGTAGCTGGTGCTGCTGAAACGGGACGCGCTGCTGGTGCGGGACACGGCCGAGACATCGCTGACATCGCTGTCCGAGGACTTGTTGGAAACATTGTCCGAGCCTCGGTGAGGGTCCCGCCCTGACCGATACTGCAAGAGGAAAGGGACAAAGATATGGTGTTGTTGTGACATGCTACCACACATCAGCTATGGACCTGGTCCCTCCTGCCATCTAAACTGCTTTTGTCACCGCACTGCCTGAACTTTTAAAATGAAGTTTTTCCCTGATACAGAATAGAAGTTATGTCTTGGTTTCTATTATTTCTATTTTACTCTGCTTTTCTATCCCAGTTAACTTAGCTCTGCAGTTTCAACTTGTACAAAATTTCCAGCATGTCCAAAAGTTTCACAAAGCTTAGAAAAGACATCTAAACCCTCATAGAATATTCTTACCACAACTGTTTCACCAGTACAGAAAGAAAAGCAGAGAGATTAGTGACTTGCCTGATTACTGAGCTCATGAAAGATTAAACAGGAGACAGAATGTGCTGCATGCTATCTATAAAGTACATGTCTCTTTTGGGGCCTTGCCTGTTTACAAGAACTTCTAACTGACAAATGTTAATTTTTTCCCCCACGTAAACAGATAGATAAGATTATCAAATCAAAAGACAAAGCAATGTTGCAGCTGTGCAAACAAACCTGCATCTTGCTGAACTGCTGTCCTGGAAGTCTGAAAATATGGGTCTGGACTAGAGGTAATTTGTAGGGAAAATGTACATGTGCCTCAGAAACTAAAAGATTACAAAGGTGTTTGAGCTTGTTAGCAGTAATATCAAACATGACTGGTGATCAGCAGTAAGGCTATATGACATGGACAGTATCATGCAGCAGTATTCAGGTTAGATCTGAACAAAATACAATGGCTATTTGTTTTTGTTACAAATTAGCACTAAATTAATGTTAAATCTGTGCCACTCTGCATGGCACTGTATGCAAATATAATAAATAGCAGAAAGATATTTTTCCTTCTCTTCATATACAGGCATTTCTCTGTATACAGAAATCTGATGGGCTGCTACAGGCAATATTTTCAGGAAAACAGTACTTCAGGGTGAATTGTCAATGATCACCAGGTGATTGTTTGGAAATAAGATGGTACAGAATGATACAAAGAGCAGCACAGACAGGACTAAAAGCAAACAGTGGGAAAAATAATCGGCCTAACACATCAGTGGCTTGTTGAACTCTTGGGGATAACAACATTATACTCAGCCACATGAAGAAAATAATTCATCATGTAAAATAGCAGACCTGTGTAGGACTGCAGAAGAGAAGCGTCCAGGTTTAGCCATTAAACTGGTCCCTTTTTTATAGTTTTAGAATAACTCTCTTTCATGAACTATATAGATCATTTCCTTCTGTTCTCTTACAAGGAATGTTACACTGAGAAATATTCTGAAATACTGTGCAGTATCTGAAATGGGATTTCAGATTTATCTAAATAAGATTTCAAAAAGCATTTCAGTGCCTTTCCTCCGAAAGTATTTTTACACTTCAAAAAGCATTTCAGTGCCTTTCCTCCGAAAGTATTTTTACACTTAGAAATAGTAAGTTATTTTGCTCATTTTAAGACAGGGAAATTAACAAGAAAAAATGCTCACGCAAGTTAGACCACATCTGCTGCAGAGAGTGACCAATCATAGCCATAACTCCACAGTTTAACTCCACAGTTACAAAAATGGTTGCACATTCTACACCAATCTCTGTCATTCTTCCTGATCTATACTAATTTACATACTTGTGTCCATCAACAACCATTCAAGTGCCTCCCAGCCTTTAAATGTGAAAGTGAACTTAGACACCCAAAAACTCAGAGTACTTCTGTGATAATAATGTTCAAAAGTTTTAATATTTACTGACTGGTTCTATTGATGCCCTTAATGTTTTTACTTGATGAAGAAGACAGTGCATATTATTACTTATATATCCAATTGGGAACGTAAAATCAATGATTAAACAGCTGTCCTGATCATCAGCGATAATGGAACATTATACCAGAATAAAAGGAGTGTCCTTTTCAGAAACTCCTTTTAAAAGAGCAACTACTTAGTTTTTACCTTAGACAAATAAAAAATAATTATGCCTAGAAAAATGTGTATATTTTGTAAGAAAATCCACCTTATTGTGCTAGTTTAATTTTTTCTTTTAGTCAATGCAATTGACTAAAATTGTAATAATCTAGTGATATATACTGAAGGCTGAGAATTGTTTTGGCAAGAAAAGAAACTTAAAAGTAAATAATTTTAGAAGCATAATGTGAAAATATATAAATAAAATATATATAAAATATATATAAAATATAAATATATAAAATCATTACCTTGTCCCTTTTTTCTCAGTAGTACATAAACATATTTTCCATCAAATGCTTTTTTGTTGGGAGAGATGTCACTGAAATATTATTTGACTGTTACAGCTTCAGGATGTTTTTAGATTAAAATTGGGAAAGTTAATTGATCCTTTCATTAAATCTGAGTGTGTTGATATACAATATTTTTTAAAGGTTTTGCTTATACCTTGTCTGAGTTACAGTGTCAGCATCTGCTAGCTGCCTACCAAGGAAACATCTACTATATAAAATTAAATTGTCTTTCTTGCTGGACAAAGTTCAGACACCTCATATTCACCCATTAACTGCTCCTAATTACCCTTTATTCTGCTGCTGAGGTGTACTTTTAACCTTATATCTGACTTAATTTTCTTTAGGAAATGGATTACAGTAGTGTATTGCACATTAGTGTTCCCGTAACTCCAGCACAGAAGAGCAAAGGAACATTATTGCTTGTCTGACAGAAGCCATGTGGCACTTTAGTTTTGCATTTCTTTCTTAAACTGCGGTTCTATACAAGGCAGCTTTTGAAGTGCTCCTTTGCTGTCTGCCTCAAGAGTAAAATGGCACTTCCACTGTGCAAATATTGATTTTTTCAAAATTTTTGTTTCTTCCATGTCATATACTCCAACTGTAAAATGCAACCATTTTTTCAGTTTTGTGCTATTGTTTTTTCAGTTATTGTGTGGTTAAAGTTGTCCCAAAGCATCCCATCTTCATATATTTCACATCCTTCCTTCCTCTCTTCCTCCAAATTTCACTTTCTTTTTTCCTAAATGTCACCCACTGTATAACAAGACCAACTACTGGACTGAAAAAGTAAGTTTTAACTCAGCACCATTCCCCCATTATATCTGAAAAACAGATATCATTTCCCATCCCTCTCCAGTGCTGTCCCTACATCCTGTGCTGTAGGATTTGCACCATCTGACTGCACATTGACAGGGAACTGCAGCCCCCATGGCTGGATCAGCGTGGCCACTGAGTTACATCATCAGCTCCTGCAACTGCCTTGTGTGCTCCAATACCCCTCAGCAGAAAACATGAATACAAGGCCACTAAAGAGCATCACAGCTCGTCTGGGCTGAACAATTAGGTGTCCAGGGTGTGGTGAAATGTACCTGCACACTATAAAGATTAACTAAAAGGTTCTTTTCAGATTCTATTTTTTTTCTTTTTTAAATACCAGCCACGACAGTAGGAAAATTCTCTCCTGACTTTCCCCAGGCTGGAAATACAGGCCTCTTTTGTTGGAACACAACTAAATTCTCATTTCCACCCCAATAAAGACTCATATGATAAAGGCAACATTCTGGACTCTATGACCCATTAAGCAGTAAACCCAAGCTCTTCAAGCTGTTTTAAAAATGGGAAGTCTGCTGAAAGCAGAGAGATTGATTAAAAGTTGCTTTTGTAATTTTAATAGTAAGATGGTTTTGTCCTGTTTTGCAGTGTTGAAGAATGAGAATAATTTCATTATTACAGTTTCTATCAAACCAGTATTCCAAAATTTCTAAAAGCATTTTTATCTGTGTTAGTAGAATAATCAGCTGGAGAGCCTAACAAAAGGACAGTTAGGGGTTAGTGCTTACGGCTTTTAACTTCAAGAGATTACTGGCCTTTAGTGATAAATTTGTGATTATTAAAGCTGAAAAAAAACCAACCTACTCTGTTTCCTAGTACAACAACCTCTGCAAATGTTTTGACCTCTTTGTGAACCACCAGTAAGTAGCTGACAGGACACATAGAGCTGCAACTCATCTGACATTGATGCTCTTATTTCTGAAAAGAAACTGGGTGGAACTTCTAGTTCAAAAGGAGTTTTAAAATGTTTCATGTTGCTTTACTCTATTGTTACCAGCCTTCCATCTTGGACTATTCAGTCATGCAGCTGTCCAGGCAATTGACATTGTCAGTGATTTCTAAACATCTTTCTATTTTATTATCTTTTCTTTTTTTATAGTCTACTCATCAGGTTTTATTTGCTAGCATTTAATACAAATACAAATTTGCATACAAATCTGGTCAATGTTTTTAGTGATCAAAATGTTGGGAAGATGTTTCAGACAATTGTCTATTGTGCTACTACCAGAAGATTAAAGAACCATTCTGGACTATTTCAATAGTTCTTTGACTCACTAACAAAAGCTCTCAAGCAGCCAGAGCACAGCAGTTTGAAATGTTCTATACCTCTCGGTGTGAATTCACAACTTCTAAAGGCATTGCAAATTTTAGCTATTGCCACACATCATTTGAATGAATGTTACTGGATTGTTTGATTCCTTCTAAAACTTTTGTTCATGGCTGCCTAATGAAGTCTGCCATTAGAAATAAAGCCACTTACTAATAATTACAACAATAACATTAGATTTATATAAAACAAAAAAAAAATCAGAGGTTTTTATAAAATACCACGTACAAATGAGTACATACAGTGTATGTTTATCTTTAGCTTGCATACACACAAACTCAAGATGAAGACTATGATTCATCTGCCCTTTTATATAATTTATACATAGCCAGCTCAATAATCTGTATTTACATTGTCACTCCTGTCAAGATCCATCAAAACAATTGAGGTACAGCCAGCCAGGCCTGCCTTTGCCAGTTTTGCTTTAGCTATCACACGGCACACAGCTCTCCCTCAGCAGATTAATTCTTGCACTGCTCTTGTGTTAGGTACATAATGAAATCCACAGTTGCCTTGGGCTTCTCAATATGGAGCTGCAGCCAGTCTACCTTAGACTCATTCTTGGCT